AAGTCTGCTAGTGAGAGAAATAGACATATAAATATATATACAAATTGTCACCCTTTAGGGGAGACACTAAGTCTTTGTAATACAGAAATGACCATTCTACATAAAGTTGGAAGTGGTAAAAGCTTATGCAAATATTTAAACAATATTTTAAAACCCCCACATTTCCCTATCAGAACAGTCTGCTCTATTGAGGATAATAGAAACAATGTTAATTTTAGGTCAAATCCTTTGGAAACTTTTTCAGTGTGACTTGTGACTTTTACACTTAGAGATGGTAAATTACTTCCTCTTCTACAATGTTTCAGTATTTAAAAAATATTTTTTCATGGAAGAATGAAATATTAAGACACTGTTAAAATGTCATCAGAAACCACTGTTGGCTTCAAGCACTGGAAGTTATCTAACTCAGGTGCCATTTCTTCTGTTTACAAAGTAGGACAATGTCTTGCAAACTTCAAAGAGTTCTCTCTCTCAGATACAATCTTTAATCCTCCAACAATTATCAGCATTTAATGTCATTCCGTTTTTGCACCGATTGACTCCGCAACCATTGTGTAGCTTCTCCATGACTGTATACCCAGCGGCAGCAGCAGCAGGTGGACAAAACCGCGGGCCCTGGTCTGGGCTTGCATCATCCTGCCTCAGCTCTTATCAGTTGGGTTATCCTGGGCAAACTGACATCCCAGGTTAGCCTAAGGATCAGTTTCTTAGTCTATAAATTGCAAGTCTATTGAAGGTTAAATGAAACTGTGTATAGAATGTTTATAGCTGGCATGCAGAAAGTGATACCATCTGCCACCCTGCTGCCCTGGTGCTCAGCAACTTGTTAACGTAGAAATACTCACCCAACCATTTTTGCTACTTAAAATGCTGTTTATCTTCGTGTCCCATTTGGGTTGCCAAAAAAAAAAAAAAGAAAAGAAAAGAAAAAAAATGCTGTTTATCAACTAAACATCATGGACAAAAAACCTGGGAATTACTTCAGGTTTATGGGTATAATCAGCTTTACTCATTGTAACAGGTAGAATAAGCACCTTTGTAATTACTCACGATATTAAAAATTACATGAAGACCTGCGTACTCTTTTCTCTTTTTAAAATATGGAATGCTTCATGAATTTGCATGTCATCTTTGTGCAGGGACCATGTTAATCTTCTCTGTATCGTTCCAGTTTGAGTATATGTACTGCTGAAGTGAGCACACTCCTATGTACTTTTAAATTTAGGATTGTCCTTATGAAAAGTTAAAAATGTGTTCTAAAAACAAATTTATTGAAGCTTAGCATATTTACATTATACAATTGTGCATATCTATATTTTAAAATTATGCAGTAGTTGTTCACTGGGTAAAATTTGGAAAATACAGGTAAACAAACAAAAGAAAAATAATCCCATGAGAGATAAACGTTGTTAATCTTTCAGTAAATCACCTTTGAGCTGTTTTGGGGGGTAGATATCTTAAATAACACTAACAACTGGTGATGTGAAATGTGCATGCTTTTTGAAAAGTGATTTTGGAGTGAATAAAATTCAATTGCAACTTACTCTAAAAGATATACATTGCCAACACTATGACAGTACTTTGTAGGAAGTACTTTAATTACAAATGCACTCTGTATTGTTTACAGGTATGGTTTTGAGAATGCCACAATTCAAGAGCAATGA